CTTTTGCATATCGTTTTCCAGTTCTGCCAGCACCATCTGTTGAAAAGACTATCACCTCCCCATGTGAGATATTTAGGTGTTTTTTCAAAAATCAATTGGCTGTATGTAAATGCATTAATTTCTGGATTCTCGACTCTGTTCCATTGATCTCTGTATTTTTCATTGTACCAGTACCAAGCTGTTTTGACCACTGTAGCTGTGTAGTAAATTTTGAAGTCAGGAAGTGACAGGCCTCCAACCTTATTCTTCTTCTTAAGCAGTGCTTTGCTTATCCTGGGTTTCTTTCCTTTCCATATAAAGTTTGTGATTGTTTTTTTCCATCTCTTTGAAGAATGTTGTTGGGATTTGGATTGGGATTGCACTATATGTGTAAATTGCTTTGGGTAGTATTGACATTTTCACAATGTTAAGTCTTCCTATCCAGGAACATGATACATTCTTCCATTTTTGTAAGTCCCTTTTAGAACCTCTACTTTTTAAATGATGAAAAAATTCATCACCATCATCATGTGACCCAACTCTTGGTGACTTCATCTCTTGTACTTTGGGGATGTTGTTAGGAAGGATCAGTCCCTGGAGAAGAACATCTTGTTTGGTAAAGTGGAGGGTCAATGAAGAAGAGAAAGACCCCCAATGAAATAAATTGACACAGTGGCTGCAACAATGGGCTTAAGTAGAAGGATTGTGAGGATACAGCAGAACCTGGCCATATTTCATTCTTTTGTGTTTAGGGTTGCTATGAGTCAGAACCAATTAGTTGCATCTAACAACTAATTCAATGACAACTAACAACAACAGCAACACTTGATTAAGGGCTTTATAAATGTTTTCCCAGTAGCAGGTGAATTCCTATATACGTTTCTGAATCTCTTTGAACTTCATTAACCTCATTTATTTTGATAAGTCGTTATGAGGATTATCAGTGTAAAGAATCCAGCAGAGTTACTCCAGTGTAGCAACTGTTCATCACATGATAGAAAATTCAGATTCATTTCATGTTTCCCAGAAGAAAGCATCAGACACTAGTTCCAAGACAGTCTTATTTATTAAATGATTGGCAATAAAAATGTTGTTGTTAAGTGCCATTGAGTCATTCCCAACCCATAGCAGCCATGTATAGGGTTTCTTAGGAGTGGCTGCTGAGCTTGAACTGCTGACCTTGCAATTCAAACTGACCTTGCAGTCCAGTGCATTAACCCACAGAGCTACACCAGAACTCAAGTGATAAAATAGCATATCACATTTTCAAGAGAGTAGCAGTTCTCAAAGTAAAAGAAACATGATTTGAATACTATTTAAAGAAATAAAATTAATATAGGCACAAGTACCATACTGTTTCATATTCATTGTTGCATATTATCTGCCCAACGAATAAAATTCATTCAATAAATCGTATGCTCTTGTTGTTAAGTGCCATTGCATCACATCAGACTCATAGTAACCTTGTATAGGATTTCCAAAGACTGGCTGGTAGGTTTGAACCCTGACTTTGTGGTTAGCAGTCCAATGCTTGCCCTACAGCACCACAACAGACTCCAGTCACAGGTGTAGTGGTTGTTATTGATGAAATCCAATTCAAACAAGAAAACCTAAGAGAGTAAGCAGTGATAGGTGATTATGGGAAGAAGATAAGGCTTTCTGTGTGCCAGGCCAAGTGCTAAGCATTTTACATAAATTATTTAATATACTCTCACAAAGATTCTGTGAGTTAAACATTGTTGTTCCCATTTTATAGATCACAAAATGAAAGTTCAGAGAGGTTTTCATTTTCAAGCTCATACACCTAGTAAGTGGCAGAGCTGGTATTCTCACCTAGGCCTGTCTGACTCCCAAGCCCACATTCATTTAATTAAACCAACTTGTGCATTTTTTAAATGTTACTTGCTCTCTAATAGTTTGTTTGATTTTTTCTCTCCAAAAGCACATGTGATTACATTTTAAAAACATGTGCTAATCTTTCTTAGAAAGGTTTCAATTTCTCTTCCTCCATTGCTTCTGGAATGTCATATCTGACTTCCCTGTAGTGTGCATGTTCATATAGCAGCTCATCTGGTTGCCATTATCACTTTCTATTCTGGAATTTCAGCATAGTGTATTACAACATCATCGTCTCTAGGTAATTTTGTTCCATATTTTCCTGAATGTTCTTTAATTAACTCATAAGTTTAGAGACCAGCGTAGCAAAGCAAAGGACTTTATTTAAATTTTCTTTATAGCTGACATTTTAATATGCTTTCATGAGGGAAATTGAGTAACATCAGATATGCTATCAAGAGATTTGACACACATTTGTTTTTCTCATTCTTTCAGTTTAATTTTGTTTTAAATCTCATAGTAATTGCTAATAAAATAAAATATACTATATTCTCTCAGGTAAATGGACTGTATATTCTGTGAGCAAACATTTGCTTCTACATTTTCCTTTGGAAACTTCTAGGTACAATTTAGGTAATAGCTGGTGTGGTATTCTGAAGACCACCTATAAAGGTCAACTTCAGGTCCTTGATAGATCTGGAATTTGTATTTTATTCTTTTGTAAAGACATTAAGTCTTTCTTGAAGATACACTGTTTTAAGGGTGCTGTAATATTAGCTAGTATTACCTTACCTAAAAATGGTTTATCTTAGTATCTGGAAAGAGACTGAGAAAGTATAGGCATATTTTCTGTTAGGAGAAGTAATGGAGTAGTGACAATTTTGGTGAATTATCAGAATATAGAATGTGGTAATACCAGAGCTTTAGTTTTCTGATAGCTTGTTAGTGATGAAATTGGAGGCAAACATGCAAAAAAAAAGAGGAAAACACATTTACCTCTTTCATAACCTTACATAACCTTTAGTTCAACACTCAGGTATGATAACTTATTTTATAGCATCTAGTCCAGTGTCTTTTATAAACGAAAGAAGATCAAATTAAAAGCAAATATTAAGATGACTATTTTAGAAGATCCTCTTCCCCACAGGATTATTCTGCAGTTAGAAAATTAAAATGCCTTTGTTATTTGGCATGACATGAATTCACTTATTTTTGATTCTTCTAACAAAAGTATGCATTTTTGTTAAATAATAATAAGTACATTTGAAGCCATTAAATACATATTGAATTTATAGTTTTTGAAGTATTTATAGCTAGTATACTCATATTTGCCAAGGAATTATGGATGAGAACTTAGGAAATACATCAAGAAGGTTATTTATGTTGAAAATTGTCACAGACTACAAAGTCCTGTCTTGCTCTGTGATCATGTTTTGCCAAAGGCAAATCAATGTCTCAACAAAAGAAGGGAGGTATCATGGCCTGTAATACAAATTGGTGTCTTTGAAAAAAAATGTCTTAACTTGAGCTACAGTTATTTGATGACTATATCTAGATAAAAACTAAACAAAACAAAGCAAAACAAAACCACTGCTGCCATCAAGTAGATCTCAACTGACAGCAACCCTATAGGAAAACAGAGTTGCCCTGTAGGGTTTTCAAGTTTGCAACCTTAATGGAAGCAGATTGCCACATTTTCTCCCAAGGAGTATCTAGTGGTATGGAACTACCAGCCTTCAGTTAGCACCCAAACTCCTAATTACTGTGCCCCAGGGCTCCGTGTTGCTGTTAAGTGCCATTGAGCTGGTTCCAATTCATAGCGAGCCTGTACAGGGTTTCTGAGTAGCAGCTGGTGACTTTGAACCATCAACCTTGCAGTTCAAACTGAGTTTGTAGTCTAGTGCTCATCCTACTATATTTCACAGTGCTACATAGTAGCTGTGAAATATAGTAATAATACATGACATAATAGTCTGCAACTATATTAGATTACAGGCTGTGTTGTTAAATGGCCATGCAAAACGCAGGCCAAAGACAGACTTAATATAATGAATAATTTATTTTTAAAAGGATGAAATGGTCACTATTTTCCTTATTATGTAATTTTTCTGAATATTTCAAAGGAAAGTAGGTGGTATGTCTACACGTAAGTGTTTAGGTATGAGTATGAATGCTTAACATTTTAATGATTTCAAGCCTTTCTTTTCAACATTTCTAATGTTCAACTTTAGAAAGTTAAATTTGATAGTATTTTTTTCATCATAATAAGACAATATTAAATGATGGTACACACTACAGAATATGGTAGCATAAAATTGAGGAAATTATATATCGAAATAGAAATGTATGTAAATGTCTCCTTCCTTGTTCGCTTTGATTAAGTAACTTTGTTTTCTAACCTTGTATTTATAGCACCAAATGGGAACTTAGTGGTGAAGGAAAGAGCAGTAATACGTTTAAACAAAGAATCCATGCAAGTGGCACCAGCAATGTGTACATTGGAGAAGAAAGAAGCTATGGAAGGAGATGAAGTTTCCCAAACCAGGGGTGCTGACACAATAGAGAAAAAAGGAGAAGCAGCACTGTGGGGGGATTTAGAGGCTGAAGGAGTTCCCTTTGGAGAGTGGAAGACAATAACAGTGACGCCAACATTAGCAGAAGAACAGTTTATTGTAGAGAGAGAGATCCCTCAAGACAATGTGAGTGGGGCAGGGACAGCAGCAGAAGGGGATAGACACATGGGTAAGGAAAACTTAAACCCCACAGGAAAAGAAGCAGACAGAGACTCTGCAAGCCTGAATGAAGAGGGGGCTTCTGGAGAACAAGATTTGATGCAAACAGTTCCTGAGACAGATAAGGCAGTTTCTGTAGGGGAACAGGGTTCCAAGAATTCAACACTCAGATGCAGGGCAGGTTCTCTGAGCTCAGAGTATGCTGAGGAGGCAGTAACTCTGAGGGAGGCAGCAGCATCCCTGGGAAAAAGAAAAAATGAGCAAGGGGATGCTATGAGTGAGGAAGAGTCCGAGAGGCCAGACGACACAAAAAATGAACAGGAAGTATCCACAGACTTGAAAAACATAGAACCTTTGGAAGAAGCAACATCTCAGAAAGACAATGACTCTGAAGAGGAAACACTTGAGGAAGCGGAACAAACCAAAGAATGGAAGAAAGTTACAGGAATGGAAACACCTTTGAGGTTCTCAGTCTCTGTGAAGGCTGGGGTAAAACAGATGAGTTGGGAGGGCAGCCTTGTAGAAGGAAGGAAGGAAGATAAGAAAGATGTGGAATGGGAGAAGATTGGGACTGAGACAGAATTTAATAGGGAAGATGACAGGAAAGAAATGTTATCTGAGGAATTAGATGCAACAAGAGAGAGGAAGAAAGATGAGAAACCAAATCCATATCTGAGGGAAACTGAATCTGAGAAAGAAGAGGTTAAAAGGGTAGATGCACTTAAGCATGAAGATGCTTTAAAAGACGGCAATACATTTAAAGAGGAAGAGGGTGAAACCATGAAAGAAAATAGGTCAGAAGAAGAGACAAAAGCCCACACAAAGGAAATGGTATCTGATACTGAGGAAGAAATACCCATGAAGGAATCTGAGTTGATTAAAGATACAGGGCTACCCAGAGAAGATTCACTAAAAGCCAGAGAAATTGCCATGTTTGAAGCATTACATGGATTTGGAAAGCCACTGGAACACAGAACAGCTCCAAGTAAAGAAGATGGAGGGGAAAGACTGACAGAAGTCAGAGAGACAGAGCACAAAGGCAAAGCAGAGCTGCTACACACAGAGAAAGTGACTCCCTCGGAGGATGAGGGGTCACAGTATGAAGAGTGTGTGCTAAGAGTTCCTGAGAGTGAGCTGGCACTAAAGGCACTGGTACCTGAGGTGACAGTCACAACCAGAGACGAGGCTGAGGAGTTTGAAGCTAAAACTCAAGATTTTCTTCCATATGTAGAGGAAAGGGATAAAGAAGGGTCTTTACAGCAGCATGAAGGAGTAGGGAACATGATGATGACCCAAGGAGATGTTTCTGAAGGAGACTCCATAATGGCAGGAAAGTTCAATGAAGAAGCAATGAGGGAAGTCATGGAAGAGAAGAAGAAAGAGGATGGTCCAGGAAAGGGAGTGATGAAAAACAGGAGCACAGAGGGGGTTGGGAACTTGACAGAAGGATCAGTTGTTGCTGAGGCAGATTCTAATCAAGGAGAAACTGCACAAGTGGCCACAGAGAAGAGGGAGGAGTTGGCAGATATGGAAATTGCTGAAGGGAAAACAGCAAATAGAGCCTCCTCCTTCTCAGATGTTGCTGGGGAGGAAATTTGGCAAAGAGTGGAAGAATTAATAGGAAAAACATCTGCTTCAGAGAGGGTGGGTGTAGAGAAAATAGCACTGCTCAGAGAGGAGGTGCCAGTCGTGGAGGATGTGAAAGTGACATTAATACCAGATGTTGGCCTGGGAACTCTGAGAAAACCTTCCGATCTGGAGGAGGAGGTCCCACAGCTAGGACAGGATAAGGAGGGAAAGGGAGAGGAAACCACTCTGCTAGCTGGAACCATGGGCATGCAGGAAGGGATGGGGAGCATTGATTCAGGGCAGGAGTCAGGAATATCTGAAGCACTCAGACTAGAATTACCTCAGCAGAGAGGGTCAGAGCTGAGTAGAGAGAATCTACAGGCTGTGAATCCTGATTTCACTGATACCCAGGAGAAGCAAGAGTGTACAGTGCAAACAAAAAACGAGACTGCAGATGTTTTCCTGAACCACACGAAGACCTAAGAAACATGGTGGAGACTTGACAGTGAGTATAAGAATGACCTGTTAGCTGGAATGAGATCTCATCAGCTTTGTTTTGGCTTGCTCTTTCATAGGTCCCTGTGTAGAGACAGACTTCACAGATATACACACTCTCAGACATATACATTCAGTTCCCTCAGTGCTGGTCAGGGCTGGGTAAGATGGGGGTGGGACCAAAGCACATGCAAAAAAACAATTCTAGGTCCTTTGTAACGCTAATTCATAGTCTGAGTCTCTGCAACCACAACACTCTGAAGGAGAGAGCTTCATATCTTCCATAAACCCTAAACAGTTGTGTGAATCTGTTTTGATTTATGGTGACCCAATAATCCAGAGTAGAACTTGTGTGTGCCAACTGGTTTTAACACTGAAATCTTTTGAAGGTAGATCACCAGAGTTTTTTTCCTGAGGCCTCTGGATGGATTGAAACTGCTAATATTTGGATGAATACCTAATAAACATTTGCACCAGGCAGAGATTCTATATAGCTCCCTTACAGGACCCCAAAGATGAAATATGGGAAATAGCCCAGTGCCATAAGGGATTAGGGAGTCCTGGTGTGATAAAGAGGTATCTTCTTTCCTTTGCACACAAAAAAGAATCAAGCCATGTTCCAGAATTCATTTTCCATTTAGTGCTTGAAAGGATAGAATGAAGATTGGCTGTAATTATTTGCCTTTAAATGTGCTCTATGTGTTGATTTCTACCGTTTTTGAAGATATATATGTGTATTGTCAGTGCAGTGTGTGTAATATTGACGTGTGGAAATAAAGACCAAAATTATGTTGGCATACCCTGATATTTCCTTGATGCCCTCACATTTTCAATGCATAGTGTCTACCATATTCAGTTATTATGTTAATGCTATTAGTATTCTTTTTATTATTATGCAGGATATTTAAAAGACGTATTCTGGAAGACATGAAGAATGGAGAAAGAGTTACCCAATCATCTCACCAGAACTTTACATTTTAACTTTTTTTAAATCAAGATGCTGTTTCCCGATCTGTCAGTGCTGATTAGTAGCACAGGAAGCACCTGGAGAATGCCTTCTTTAGATCTACAGGATCACAGTCCCTAATGGAGAACTGTGAGACCATGATAGATTCTACATAACTATCATGCCTGTATTCAAATCGAATGCTGATTTTCAAACGTTTGACTTTTACCAAAGGTCCACCTTAAAGACCTAGTCCTGACATCTGGGATTTGTTTTAATTTCTTTTTGTTTTACAATCAAATACTAGCCCTAGTTTCATACATGGAAGTATTAATCAAAATCTGTGAGTTGGGACTTTAATGACTATGAACATGAGCTCAAAGAGGCGATCTGTATATATAATCAATACTAAAAATTGTTCCAGATCTCTAAGTCCTCCCAGAAAAGGATTCCATAGCATGTATCTTCACTTTTACTTAGAAACACTCACTTTCTGTTTTTTTGCTAGGAGAATAATTTGAAGTGGAAACATTATTTGAGACCTGCCTTTGTGTTTATGTGTGTGTTTCTAGTTCTGATTGCCCAAAGAGACTTGAGAAAAGTAATTTCCATCATTTCAGTGCTGGGGATATTATTTATATGGACACTCAAATTTAAATCAAAGTAGTAAATAATTTAGCTAAGTGAGGGCGAGTATAATAATTATAGCAGGTAAATGTAGTACATCAGCATATGTATCTCAACATCCTCCACTCTAGACTCAGATTGATTTCATTCAAAGGGAAGGAAACTTGGATTAAATTAATGTGTCTCTCACCTTGCAAAGTTCTGTTATTTCAAACCTGTGTTCTAACCCTGCAGTGCATTCATCAATCAACAGTCACAAACACTTTCCAAATTACCCCTGATATTGTTTCCTAGTTGTTTATCTGTGTGTCTCCTAGGGATTTTGATTTCCTTAAAAACATTCTTGTTCATATACCAGTGCCTACATTAGAACCCATGTTTGGTCTCCTTTTCTCTGTGTGAGGAAGTGAAAGAGAATTTCTTAAAGCAGTAATTCTCTAGCTGGACTACATATTAGAATTTCATGGGGGTTCTGTCATAAATGACTCAGTCACTAGCCCCATTCCAGAGAGTCAGGTTTAATTAGTTTTAGATGGGTCTGGGCATCAGTATATATGGGCATCAGTTGGTTCTGCTATGTAGCCAAAGGGGGGGACTGCAGCTCTAAATCACCTTACAATCCATGCTGGCTGCCTCACACCCTTTATCCCCAGGGCCCTGGAATATTACCTTTATTGTGGTTTTCATTTTAGTAAATAATGGAGCCATTTAATGATCAAAGATAAAATGAACCAGTGGTTCTCAAAATGCAGTTCTTCAGTCAGTAGTATCAATATTACTTGGAACTTGTTTGCAATACAAATCCCTGGCTTCAACTCCTTACCCTATGTATGGGGCCCAGCAAGCTATCCAGGTAGTCCTGATGTACTTTGCTGTCTGAAAACTGCTATCATGGACTATTGAGTGTATTGAGAATTATCCCAGTTGGAAAATTGATAGTGAAAGCATTATATGAAATTTCTCCCTTTGTCTTTCACTGTCACTGTCACTGTCTCTGTCTCTGTTGGTCTCCTTTTGCCCTCTCCATTTCTTTCTTTGTCTCTTTCTCTTCCATACCCTGTGTCTTTCTCCTTTTCTGCCTTTCAATTTCTCTCTCTTTCTTTTTTGCTTTAGGAAATGTGCTCACTATAAAAAATGGTGAATTCACCCTTAAGCCCATTTGTATTATGATTGTGATCATGTGTAAATTAAGTCCCTCTGTTCCACCCCCATTGAAGGATGAGTATCAGTTACTGTACTGTCATAAATATCAATTGTCTTCAAATATCAATCTTATCTCCTCTGTATACAGGGTTGATAGGGATAGGCAACTTAGACATTGGCTACCTAAAATGGGGAGCTATAAAGGCACAAAGTGACTGGCTTACAAGTTTTCAAGAGGGAGATTAGAGTATGTGGGGGAAGGTAGAGTCCCCACTGAATAGTATTCATCTTTTCTAGATGGATCTGGTGAAAAGAGATGGAGATGATATTCTTATGATTCAATAGTGAATAATTGTTATCATGATTAATTGTGACTGTCACAACTGTAAAGGTAGAAGTTTTGTAACAAAATCAGGGAAGTAGTTAATCTTACAGTACAGGACAAAGGACCCTAGGACCATTAAGGGAGAAGAGCATAAGTGGAATGCAGGACCCTATCCAGAGAAGCAGCAACACCAGAAATGGAGGCAGAGATGAGGATATGGAGAGATAGAGCAGCTGAGGACTCTAGACTCATGGAAAGAGAAAGGCTATGTGCTGGTGAACAGGAGGCAGGCTTGCAGAATGTGCCCTTTGTGGTTTAAATGATTATATATTCCTGAGTGCTTTTGTGTACATCCCCCACCCCAAAAAAACAGAGGGAAGCAAATACTGTTGAATGATGATGCACGGAGGAGATTGTAATCAATGCAATGAAGCAATGATGTAAAGCTGATGTTCTCCCATGTAAACTATCACTCAGTTCATATTAAAAACATAAAAAAAAAAAAAATTGTCTCTTGTCTGTATTTGCTTTTGTGAACAGAGTTCATTTACATTATGCCCAAGTTCATATATTACTGAGTTACATTACTATGGAGCTTTCCCATATTTGTTCTCTAATTTCAAACTCAATGTTACAAAGCACTTTTGAGTACATAGCACCTTATCGGAAAGATTTTTAAATGTTTGATTTCCATTGAAAAATGAGTTTGTACAATGTGCTAAATGGAAATTGCATGGAATTATTTTTATATTTAACACATTCCATCAAACACATTCTGTAACATAATTCTACAATCTGCATGTAGGTTTAACTGTGAAATTCAGTGTTGTAATATTTTAAGTGAATTCTTTCTTTTCAAATAATATGTTAATACAATTATTTGTATGTTTAACTGGACTAATTTTTTCCTAGTTTCTTCATTATTAAAAACCTAAATAAATTATATGCTTACAGATAAGATATGTGAATGGTTCTTTATCTTTTAAAAGTAGACTTACAATCTCTTTTGTTCTGTCTTTATAAAATCTGAACTTCTTAGAGCATAACAAAGAAAATTAATTTAACTGGATTACATTTTGAGTTATATATGTTTATAGTGATTTTCAAAATTTGTGAGCTACACTTTTCTATTATTTATACATGTCTTTCACATACATGAGGTAACACTAGGGAGGAAAATTATTATCATCATTTTTTAGATAAGTAAATAGAACTTCGTCTCTCATACTTTGGACATATTGTAAATAGGGACCAGTGGCTGGAGAAGGATATCATGTTTGGTAAGGCGGAGGGTCAGAGAAAAAGAGGAAGACACCCAAAAAGATGGAATGACAAAGTGGCAACATCAATGGACTCAAGCGTGGCAACAATAATGAGGTTGGTCCAGGATCAGGCAGTGTTTCGTTCTGCTGTGCATAAGGTCGCTATGGCACTTAAAAACAACACCAACAAACAGAAGTTCAATAAAGTGAACTAGCCTGTCTAAAATCATGGTCAATCTCAGATCTTCTGACTCCAAACTCTGTTTTTAATCATGTACCCTAGCTCCTGTTGTTGTTGTTAAGTGCCGTTGAGTCGTTTCCGACCCATAGCGACCCTGTACAGGGTTTCCGAGGGTGTAAATCTTTACGGGAGTAGAAAGCCTCATCTTTCTCCCGCGGAGCAGCTGGTAGTTTTGAACTGCTGACCTTAAGGTTCGCAGCCCGATTCGTAACCACTACGCTACCAGAGCTCCTTACCCTAGCTCCTAGAAAAAGTAATATTAAGTAGATACAAACATACTACATAGAGTCCTGGTGTGGCGCTGTGGGTTAATATGCCAGACTGCAAAGCCGTATGAACTGCAATGTCGGTGTTCAAGCTCACCAGCTGCTCCTCAGAAACCCTATACTGGGTCAGAACAGACTCAACAGCACTTAACAGCAGCAACAACAACATACTACATGC